TCTATTTATTAAATATATTATTAAAATTAAACTTCTTATTATTCATCCCACAATGGATGTAATAAATTAGACATCTTTTCTTCTCTTTTTTCACGTGTTTTTAGGAAAGCTATTTTTTTTCTTCTTTGAAAAACAGTTTTGAGTTAAATTTTTAATACTAATATATTTTTAATATCGTTACAATCTATTATTATTTTAAGATATTATAAACCAACTAGAGGTGGTGATATATAAAATATTAATTACTTTCATCATAAGACTCTGGTTCTTATTTTATTGAACCCGGACCCTCAACCCTCCTGGACCCTCGTATTTTGGCTGAACCCGGACCCTTTTAAAAAGTGGATGGTCCAGGGGTTCAGGGTGTTAAAAATTTTTAACTTAAATTTTTTTTTTTTTAATTAATGTAAAAAATATATTTTTAAAAAATAATATAAAATTTTTATAATTTTATTAATTTTTAAAAAAATAATGTAAAATTTTTATAATTTTATTAATTTTTAAAAAAAATAATGTAAAATTTTATAATTTTTTATTAATTTTTAAAAAAATAATGTAAAATTTTTATAATTTTATTAATTTTTTTTGTAGAATCTCCCTAAAAATAGTCACTTTAAAACTATAATTGATAAAGCAAGGGATGTTGTAAAATATTTAAGAACTCCCACAATTGTTAGAATATTAAAATCCATGAAAAGGTAAATGGCAATTTTAGATTGCACAACACGTTGATCCTCTATGTGTATGATGCTAGAGCGATTATTAAGTTTGAAAGATTTCTGTAATGATTTTATCATAGGAGTATGTGAATTTTCAGAAGATGATTGGAATCAAGTAAAAGAGCTTACTAATGTGCTGGTTCCTTTAAAAATAACAAGATTAAGAGTGCAAGCTGAACAATTATGTTTATCGGATTTTTATGGCATATGGTTAAGATGTCGATTAGAGTTAGGGAGATTAACAAGTTCTTTTCAAATGAAGTATTAGAAAATACGAAAATAAGAGAGCAACAATATTTACAAAAGAGTGTTGTATATGCTTCGATATATTTAGACCCGCTATATCAGGTTTTATTAAGTAGTGAGCAAAAACAAATGGCTATAGACCATCTTGAAGATTTATGGCATACCCAAAACTCTATTATTTACAATACATTAGTGGTTACAGCAATATCTACTGGTTGTAGCGATAACAATGATAATGATAACGATATTGATGATCTGGAAATTTTACTATTAGATAGAGAAAAAAAAATTAAATTATCATCTGATAGAAAGGGTAAAAAATATCTATTGTACCTTTAATAAAAAAGTTCTCGAAAGTTATGAGAATAAATAGAGATGCAAACATTTTAAAATTCTGGGAGGAAAATTCTTCAATATATCCAGAATTATATATTTTTTCTAGAATCGTCATGGCTGTACCGGCGACACAAGTACAATAATTTATGTATTATAAAAATGACTATCTATTTTAGGTAAGCGTAGAACGTGGATTTTCATCGTTGACTAATTTACGTGGAAATCTGAAGGATGATATGTTAGAAGATATCATGATTGTGCGATTGAATAAAATATTTAAAATATAAATTATCTCAATTCAAATTATAAATGTGTATATATTGAAGTATAATAAAAAATGAATGAAAAAAGTCTTATTTTGAGTCATTATTTTTATGTTTCCTCAGAACCCGAACCCGAACCCTTTTTTTTTGTCGAAGGGTTCACATCCCTGATGTTTCATTTCTAATATGGCATCCTTGCCGTGTAAATAACTCAAAACTTTAATATATTTGCATAATTTCTTCTAAAGAATTTTACTGTTTTTGTTTTATCAATTTATCTAACATAATAAATTCTGATATGGGTTATCATCGTGAGTGTCATGACCTTTTGTCAATGTAATTTTGCTAGAATTATATTTCCTCATGTGGTTTTTAAAAACCATTATCAATTGAGGCATATGTATGAATTAATTAACCTTTTTAATCACTTGTAATTATTTACGCAAATTTTTTTTATATCAGCAATCGAAAATATTTTATACTGTAATAAATAGATTTTGTATTAAAAAATATTATTTTTAGAAATCGCACCCCCCCCCCCCCCATAAATTTTTTTTTAGCTGAGCCCCTGAGATTGTAAAGGCTAGCGACGCCCCTGATAATAGTGTTATAGGTGGTAGGTAGTTAACTTTCACCCAATAATATATTAATCATAAATATATATATAATCATTATAAAATATATCTAATTAACGAATAAACTTATCACATTTACAAATATTTCATATGTATCAATATTTCATTCCATCATTTTATTACATATAAAAATTAATATCAAAAACCAATATTACATCTCATGATTATATATATATCAAGATATCAATATCACAACCTGTTTAAATTATCTTTATTTTCTTCATATATATTACAACACAAAATCACATGATGAAAATTCTTTTTAACAAAAATAAAAATTATATCTTCTCGAAAAATTTATTGAAAAACGTCCATAAATGTCAATTATGAATTTGACAGATACAGTAATACTAATTCATCATATATACAAATAATATAATATGCTATATTCGCACACATACCTTACATAATATCAATAATAACTATATATGTATACTTTACACCTTACCACAGTGAGTTATATGAATTATTGTGCCATAAAGAAATCATTGTATTTTATCAATTCTTTTAACAAATTTTATGGTTCGTTCTCACTTATAATTTCGCGTAAAAGCTACACTCATCTAATGTATCATTTAAATGCTTTTAAGACCTTCCTAAATACTCTTTTTTTTAAACAAAGACCTCCCGTCATAGATTCGAATCAATTATGGGACCAACCTGATTGACTCCCCCATTTCGATTGGCTATTTATAGGATTATTAGCAAAAATAATTGCCATGGGTCAAAACCCAGGGTCTTAACTTATTAAGCTTACGTATCAATTAAGATTCTGTGTTAAGGGAGAAATCAAAATTGTGTTATATTCAACTCCCCTGCTTATCAAAGTAGAAAGCAAAAGTGATATGAACATTTATTTCAAATATTAATTTTTTTTTTAAAAAAAAATAAAAAAATTGTACTTCCTCTTCTAACTCGATATTTTTATATGTTACATCTAGCAGTGTTGTTAAACGGCTCGTTTTGAGCCGATTTTTAAAAACAGCTAACTCAACATTTTAGCCAGATAAATGTTGCCTAAACCTAGGAGATGTCCAAACCTTAGTTCCTTCTACAAACAAAATCTTCAGGCTCGCGTAATAGTATTCTGGATGAAATATTGAGTTAGCCGTTTTTAAAATTCGGCTCAAAACGAGCCATTTAATAACACTAATTACATCAAACCTTGCGAATATTTTAATATCTAATTAGGGGAACTGTGGCATCTCATTCCACCGTTATACGATTTTTTTTGAGGTTTTGAGGCATCAGTTAATTATATTTCCCCATTCAACAGTTATGCCATCAATATTCCCAATCTTATTGTTTTTGTTTTGTTCATGAAAATTTCATTTTTCTTCAAAAAAAAGATAAATAATATATCCACTTATAATAGATTAAAAAATTTTAATAAAATTGTATTTACCCCTGACTTGATATTATTATGATGTTATATCCACTCACTCTGACTTAACATTTTTATGTTACGTCAAAACAACCCTGCTTTAGTATTTGTATGATGATGTTACATCAAGTATCTTGATTCCATATTTTTTACGAAATTCAACCGTTCTTTTAAAAAATATTTATATATAAATTATAAATGCTTCCTTTAAATCCCTCAACTCGCTGGGAATTAATCATGCCCTAATACGCATAGGATCTCTGACTCAAGAATATATACGGAATTATGGTGGCTTAAATCAATTCTGACTTTCTAAATGAACAATTGGAAATAAGTGTAATAATTAAGTTTTTGCTTTTTTTTGTTGTTGAAGTTTTATTGGGTTGCCTGTAAAGGGTGGGCTTGTTGTATTAGATTTATCTCATATATTTATTGTTTATACTATTATTTTTAAGATATGAAAAATCATATTTTTAATTTGCGCAAATTATATTGATGATAATTTTATCACTTAAATAGTTTTAAAAAAGATATCAATTTTTATTATGTGTAGAAAAATGAACTTAAACCTTTATCTTAGCCGTGTAATTCTTATTGATTTTTTTTAATTAGCAAATTTTTGAAATTTATTTTTGATAAATATTATACATATATAGAGAAGATGTATTTAAAAATTAATTATTGCTTGATGGATGATTTTGATATGGAACAAAAATTTAGGTACATAGAATCAAAAAGTGTTACATTTTTACTAAATATTTGATGCGTTCAAGATTTTGAAGGGAAATTGATCGGGCTTCCTGAAATGAGCGAAGAGATGATGGAATGAAGCAAAATCTCTCTGGTATGGCCTAAATTAATTTGATCACGTGCGTGAATTAACAAAATTTATCCGAATCTCAATCTATTTTTTTTTAAATTTTTTATACATTTCTGGATTAGTGTTGTTATTAGGCTCGATTTTTAAAGAAAAAAACAAACTGTTAGACTCAATATTTTAGCCAGGAAAATATTAGGAAACCCCTGAAGATTTTGTTTGTAGAACAGCGCAAAAGTTTTGGACATCTATTTAGCGGAAAATCGCGAGGCTTAGGCGTTATTTTTTTTCTGTATAAAATATTGGGGTTAGACGTTTTAAAGAGATGGGCTCGAAATGAACCGATTAACAAATACTAGTTTGGATTAATATACAGGTAGATTTTAGACCTTAACCAGATATTCTAATAAAATGAATTTACTTCAAAACCAAACATACGCCCCTCTAAACAATTGCAAAAAAAATACCGATTTCAATTGTTATTTCATTTCACAGAAATATATATAATCTAAATGGTAATACATTTTAAATTTATTTTGAAAAACATCGATTATAATAAGGATTATTTTGGTTTATAATAATAAATTAAAACAAATATATATATAATATTTTTATTATTATTTGGTCTTTCTATGAAACAAGTTGTAAAAGCAGTTTTTTTTAAAAAAATATTATTGGTTAGCTATCTAAAAACTAGATTGTTTGTTTTTTATGAAATATATAAAATTTTTTACAAATATTATAAAATATTATCTTGTAAAAAATATTTTACAAGATTGTATATATATAACATCGTTTGCTTGGCTTATCCATTGAATCTACCAATAAAGAACGGGGCGTTGGTCTTTTTACAGATAATGGCGTATAAGAATGAATGGTCTGCTTTGAAAGTTTCCGATGCTCCGAGATTGATTGGGGTATCTTTCGATGGAGTATTACCTCCATTTTCGTCGAACGTTAGCCTTGCCTCCTGGATGTAGTAATCTAGGGCCAATTTATCGGCTACGGCAGTAGCATCTATACCCGAAAAATCAGCTGTGCCTAAATGCCCAATATTATTTATTCATTTTATAGAGGGAAGGAACAAAGGGCGAGAAGGGAAATGTTAAAATCATACGAATTTTTAGTGTACTTAGTAGACACTACACTATTTGTTATAAAGTATAACCTGGCGTGAAGAGGTCACCAAGTCCGCCGGTTTTAAACTCGGAACTGAGTTCGTAATGAGAAGTGGTGTGGAACTTGGGGATAGAGATTTTAGCGTTCGTAGGTTTCAGGGAAGCGAGCAAAGTTTTCAAGGCTACCGTATTTTCTAGGTGGGTTTCTTCGAAGGCGGTTAGACCCGTCGGAGAATCGGGCAGGACTATGTAAGCCGAGTGATGGTCAGTTAGATAAGGCAGTTCCAGTATTTTTGCGGCCAAACTAGCGTCGTGACCTATTTTGAAAACTCCCGTTTTCTCCATGTATGTTTGAGGCTTGGCCGCTCCGGTCAAAGTTTTGAATTGGCCTTGGGTAACGGAATCGAATTTGTTATTCCATTTACCCTTTAAGTTTTTTTTAAATACGTTATAAAAAGTAGGCCCGGCCCGTACCCGGTCCGGCCCGAACGGGCTTCTGGCCGAGCCGGGTCGGGTTGTAGAAATTTTTTAAAATATATCTAAATTTATCAATTTTATGTTGAATTTCGGGTTCCGGTTCTGGTCGGGCAAAATATTATAAAATATATTTCGGGCCGGGTCGAGTCGGGCCGGGTCGAGTCGGGCCGGGTTGAGTCGGGCCGGGTTGAGTCGGGCCGGGCTTGCTTGAAGAATTAGGCCCTATGCAGATCAACTACGAAGAGAATGAGTTAATACAACGGAACTCAAGAAAAGAGCTTTTACAAATATATGTAGAATTTTTCTTATTGCTTCCCTCCAAATATTTTTAGTAAATATCAAAAACACAACTTATTCCTATTATGTTTGAAATGGATTATGTGGGTAATAATTTAACCAAACAAAATTTAAAATTTAAAAAAAAAAAAAAAAAAAAACTTTAAAAGTAATGGCGCTCGCTGCCAGGAATTTGGTGGTGGACTTGAGTAGGCCAGCTGGAACGAGATTAGGGATTTTGCCTTTCGTCACTTCGCTCACGAATTTGTTGATCGTAGCGGCAGACGTGGCCGTGTTAGAAAAATCTAATTTCTCTATCTTGACTTGGAAAAATTTTTCCACCTTATCGGTATAAGGCTTCAGTAGATCTATCGAGTTATCGGCGTAATATCGTTTAGCTACCACCAGATCGTACTGACCCTTGTGTTCTAGGACCATTTGGTAGAGCTTGGCTTGGGCAACGGAATGAGCATCCGTTATAGTGGTCAAACCCAGTTCAGATTCTATAACGCTGGCTGTTGAACCCTTGGCTCCCAAATGCAGACTCAGCAGAACCGAGGTCATAGAATAAGGCGAGAAGAATATGCTCTTCTGGGGACTCTCTTTCGATATTTGTCTAAAACATTTCAAAAATTTACGATACTAATTCATGCTTGAGGTTGGGGTGGATATTTTTTTTTTTGAGTATTAATTAATAAGTATATTATGTGTTAGCGGGCATTGTGTTATTTTTTTTTAAAACTTTAAAATCATTTTTTGAGCGCCATATTACCAAAAATGTATTCCATCAATTCCATAAATCTTTTGACCATTCATATAAGAAAGATATTCAAAACATGTTGTGTAATACAGATTTTTTTTTAAAATCCGATTTTTTTTTAAAATCCGATTTTTTTTTAAAATCCGATTTTTTTAAATTTAAAAAAATAAAAACGGGCTCAAATAAACAAAAAAATGATTTAAAGGTTGAAATAATAACACATTGCCCACCTAAATATATACAAATTGGATGTAGATCTTAGAGATTCCTCATTGGTCAGTTTTTTAGTCCGCCCGCCTATACCCGCCCATATTTCTGGCGGGCGCGATCGCGTTTTTTTTTAAAAATATTTTTAACGATAAAGCGATGGGCTGGGCATGCGCACGTTAAATTTTTTAATATTTTTTTTCGGGGGTGAAATGAGCAGAAACAGACTTCAATTTATATTTTTTTTTTTAAAAAAAAAGAAGTTTTATTTCGTAATATCGCAAATTATCCAGAGTTGTTAAAGGATCTAGATATAAAAAATGTGGTATCTGTATCTAGATTCCATTTAAAAAAGTAATCTTTTAACAACTCTGCAAATTATATACTGTTTAATTTTTAAAAAAAAAAAATAAATAAATTATAGAGCCAAATCCGTCATTAAAATATTTTTTTTTTAAAGCATTAGGTGTGCTGGCGGATTAAACATTATTTATAGATAAATGAGCGGTAGGGCGGATAAAAAATGGGTAAGCGGACGGGTAAAAAAATTTAAAAAAAAATAGTAGGCGGAACGGGCTTTTTGGCTAAAAAAACCCCGCTCGTCGCAGACCTCTAATTAGATATTTTTTATAAATTTAATTTTGTTCGTTACTTGTACATATCAAGCCCAATTTTCCAATTCGCCTTTACGACTTCCTCTAACGTAGGATCCTTGGGATGCACATGGTCGTCACCCGCTACGTAACTAACTGGTAAATTATTATTTTTTTTTGCAATTTTCATTTAGCTTTAACTCCTTAACGCATATTTTAGATAAGAGCTTGTATATATATATATATATATCCTTAACTAAAGTGTTATTATGCGGGCGGCTCAATTTTAGCCGAGGCCCAGCCAGAAAACAGGAAGATATTTTAGACATGATTATGGTTCCTTTTTGGGAACTCGTTTAGTAAATCATTTTTTTTTTTTAAATTCAAACATATCACATTCTATTTTGCAACCTATAAATTTTGGGTGTCCTTTTTTTTTTTTTTTACTTTTTATTAATAAAAGTTATTTTTAAATATTACATTTAGGTAAATCAAAGTTTTTGAATTTAACCTAAAATTATAAGTATAGAAAATTATAGCATTTTTCTTTTTACCCCGTAAAAGTAGTGTTGTTAATCGGCTCGATTTGAGCTGGTTATTTAAAAAAAAAGGGATTAAACTCAATATTTTATTCAGAAAAAAAGATAATATCATGTAAAGCCTAAAGATTTTGGTCGTAGATGGCACATAGGATTGAACATCTATTGGCGAAATCCGGCCACTTAGGACAATATTTTACTGGCTATAATGATGAGTTACCCGGTTTTTAAAAATCGACTCAAATCTAGCCGTTTAACAACACTATGTAAATGTTATAATTCAAAACTTTTAAAGGTGTTTATTTAATTTAAGTATTAATAAGAAAAAAAAACGTTTTGAAATAGCGACTGTATATACAAAAGTTAAAATTAATGTTGTTTAAACGGCTAACTCAATATTTTATCCAGAAAAAAAAACATTAACTCAAAGCCTGAATTTTTCCTTCTCATAGATGGCCCAGAGGTCCTGACATCTATTAGCGAGATCTTGAGCCCTAGGCAATAGAGTTAGCGGTCTGTTTTTAAAAATCGGCCCAAAACGAGCCGCCTAACAACATGAGTATTAATCAGTGTTGTTAAACGGTTCTTTTTAACCGATTTTTTAAATTCGGCTAACCCAAATATCGCATCCAGGAAAACAAATATTACGCCAGCCTGAAGATTTTTCTCATGAATAGAAACAAAGTTCCTAGACATATATTATCGAAATCTCCTGGCTTAGAGCAACATTTCTCTGGCTCTAAAATATCGAGTTGGCCGTTTTTAAAAATCGGCCCAAACCGAGCCGCCTAACAACATGAGTGTTTATCAGTGTTGTTAAACGGTTCGTTTTTTTAACCGATTTTTTAAATTCGGCTAACCCAAATATCGCATCCAGGAAAACAAATATTACGCCAGCCTGAAGATTTTTCTCATGAATAGAAACAAAGTTCCTAGACATATATTATCGAAATCTCCTGGCTTAGAGCAACATTTCTCTGGCTCTAAAATATCGAGTTGGCCGTTTTCAAAAACCGGCTTAAATTAAATTGCTACGATAAAAAGTTTTCGAAATCGCAGCTGTTTTTACAAAAGTTTAAAATGATTATTTTTGCTTCTTACCGAACATAAAGAATAGGGCTAAAGATTTGTACATCATTTTTTTTATTTAATTTTTTTTTGTAAAAATATGAAGAAAATAAAAAAATTTACGAATTTTTAAACGAATATTTATACTTTTTTTTTTGCAATTAATTATTACAAGGATATTAATTATTTTTTATTATTTTTTTTTGTATAAATAATTTTTGTAATTATTTTAATTATATTACAATCTTTTTATATTATGTTTCTTTTCTTTTTTTTAAGACTTTTTAGATTCTTCTGTTAAAAAAAAATTCCCTTTCGGGATGGATTTAAAACATATGATCGATCATATAATTTTTTTTCTTCTTTTTACTATAAATAAATATAAAAAAACTGCCCCTAAGAAAAAAAACAATAAAAAACATAAATAAAAAACGTAATTTTTTTTATAAAATAAAAAACATTTGATTTTTTAATATTTTTTTTTGTATAAATAATTTTTGTAATTATTTTAAATACGTATTACAATCTTTTTATATTATGTTTCTTTTCTTTTTTTTAAGACTTTTTAGATTCTTCTGTAAAAAAAAATCCCTTTTCAGGATGGATTTAAAACATATGATCGATCGTATGATTTTTTTTTTCTTTTTTCTATAAATAAATATAAAAAAACTGCCCCTAAGAAAAAAAACAATAAAAAACATAAATAAAAAACGTAATTTTTTTTAAAAAATAAAAAACATTTGATTTTTTAATATTTTTTTTTGTATAAATAATTTTTGTAATTATTTTAAATACGTATTACAATCTTTTTATATTATGTTTCTTTTGTTTTTTTTTAAGATTTTTTAGATTCTTCTGTAAAAAAATTCCCTTTTCAAGATATTTAAAACATATGATCGATCATATGATTTTTTTTTTCTTTATAGGCTCTTTTTTTGTCTCATTCCCTTTTATATAAGCCTATAGAGGTTTAAGTAATATTTTTCGAAATGTTGCGCCTACAAGTACGTGCGGCTTGCCCACAAACGTGTGGAGGGCTCCTCATATTTTAACTTTTATACCCAAATTTAATTGTTCCAATAAGATGGAAATGAGGAAAACCTAGCGTAGCTCTGTTGCATTTCAACACTAGAGGGCATAAGTGCTATATATCACGTAAATAAATTATAAAAAAACTGCCCCTAAGAAAAAAAAAACAATAAAAACATAAATAAAAAACGTATTTTATTTTTTTTTCTAAAAATGTGGAATTTTTCGATTCGTAAATTCCGAAGGCATTTTTTCCCGATTCTTTTTTTTTTGGAAATGCGAAATGTTATAAATCTAAAAAATGTAAAGAGAGGTGCATATTTATTCATTCATTCATTAAAATAAAAAACTCTTTTCTTAAATAGATGATCGTATCTTTTTGATTCATATCAAAAAACTACGGCCCGAAGCCCCGTTCAGGCCGGGCCCATTTTTTAAGATAAATTTGGGTTCGGGCCGGACCGGAAAAAGGTTTTTAAAAAAGATTTCGGACCTGGCTTGAAAAGTTAGGCCCGATACAGATCACTACCTCTCTCTATCATTACAATTTTTTTTTGGGGGGGGGGGGGAGGGGGGGGGGGTCGGTGAATTGAGTATCAAACTTATACTTTCATTAATAGCGTACGATACATATATATATATTAATTTTCAAACTCTTGTTCTCAGCGTTGTTTAAAAAAGGCCAATTTGTGTCGATTTAAGATTTTAGCTAAACCAATATTATTCCAAGCAATCGAGAACTTGGCAAACCGATGTCCAAGCATTCCTGCCGGCTATGAGCAAAATCTTTAGGCTTACGTAATGTTATTTTTGTCATTATCTTAATCGGGCCGTTAATCGACACGGCTCGGCCCCTAACCCGGTTCGAATTTACTCGGAACGGGCCTTTTAAAAAAAAATCATGCCAGACAAATTTAACCTGGGATTATATGTCATTATGTTTAAGTTTGTTTTTTTTTAGCTTACGCCTTTACATTTTATGTATTTTTTTTGGAAGGAGAGATTTAATAAATTTTATATATCTGTATCCGTAGTTTAAGGTTAACCTATTTAATTATATATATATATATATATCTTCAACAAAATAACGTTAAATACTAATAATATGTTTAAATATTATACCCCATTCGTTTAGCGTTAACACTCATAAAGGCTAATTTAAAAAACAAAAAAAAACGCTATTTGTTTTATAAATATTTCTTCTTTTTTTTTAATTTAAAATCTTTACATTCTTTTTTTTGTTTCAAAATAATTATTCTAAAAATATATTTGTAATTTCTCATTCAATCTGTTAGGAATTAGGATTATCATAAGATTTTATAATAATTAAAAAAAAGTTAGGATATACAATTAGATCAAGAAAACTCATTTTGTTTTTAACAAACCAATCTTGTACGAGTGCTTATACAAAATATATCGAAAAACGCGTTTAAATTATATATAAATATGTATCGAATTAGGCAAAATTGTAAATATATTTCGCGGTATGATCCGGTGACGCTGGAGTCTTGATTTCACCGAAATTATAATCAAGCATATTGTATAGTAAAGTATACATCTACATACCCTTATAAAATTTTCAAACATCCATAGATTTTTTTTTGTTATATTTGAATTTTTAAGTTTAAGCCCAAAAATTTTGATCAAAACTTGTCTAAAAATTAATAGGAACGAGAAAACATTAGAAGTTTTAATAAAAAAATGATTACTAGGTGATTTTTGAATAAATATTTAATATTTTAAGACAATAATATATATTTTAAAAAAAAAATTAAAATATATTTACACCTATTCGATTTCATTATCTGGTCTGGAAATTCATCTATTAAAAATATTTATTTATTTATTATTATAGAAATAATTTCTTTAACTTTATAAAAATATCCCAAAAATATAAAAATATTATAATTCAACGAATTTCAATATTTCATCATATTATAATATAAAATAGAAAAATGTAACAAAAAAAATAACAAAAGTTTGCCATATCATAGCTATCAAGGTGTAACGGCCTAAGGGTCTAGACTAGTTATATCCGATGGTCTAAGATAAGATAGGTTTTAGCGGATCGCTAAAGATTGATGCGCTAAATATTTCGGTCCAAGCCCTTTTGGCCAGAATTAAATGTTTGCTATATATTGGTATATGTTTATTAATTTTGTATCAAAACCCTTGTGCATCTATGGAGATTTTATATATATATTAAAACATTTTATGTAGAAGAATAAAATTTCCTTGGCCTAAATAAAAATTAAAAATAATAAATTTATGTTTTTGTACTTTTTGTATACATGAGTTTGGTTTTTTTTATAACATTATTATTAAAATAGTCATTTTCTTGGTTAATGATAGTCACTACCTTAAGGTATTATTCTGTATAAAACTATCTAACAAATCCATCTTCTACTTCGTAACATGAAATTTCTTAATCTTTATTTTAATAAATAATAAAAAATTAAATTTTAAATATAGGCATAGAAGAATTTTAAATAATTTCGTTTCAAAAATTTAGAAATTTTGTACTGATAAAAATTAATATTTTGAATGATGAATGATATGTCACAAGCAGCTGAGTTTACCAAAAAATATGTATCTTTTTGTATTTTCTTATATTTTCATGTTTTTTTGGATTTTTCAATGAAATATCATTGTTTTAGTTAGTTAAAGGAAGATGAAGATTATGAATCCCTTGAGATAAAAATCTGAACTCATATCCCTCGTTTTGATATTAATAAAATAAATTTGAAAAAAATATGTTTTCTTATATGTTATTATCATCAAAAAATATTAAAAATTTAAAACAAGTTTTTTTATGATAAATCATTTTGAATAATCATTTCAAATGAAATCAAACATTTTGATTACACATGTAAAAATTTATTTTCTTGCATTGTGCTTTTTGGCTATATATTTAGATTTACTATATTTTTTTTTCTTCCAAAGTATATTATTACAATTTTCGAGGACCATAGCAAAGAATAGTGAGGATGCAGAAGGCGATTTTTCAACTGACTCAGTATTTTATCCGGAAAAAAAATATTATGCGACCCTGAATATTTTTGCCAATTAGAATGGCACAACAAAGGTTTAGACATCTATCAGGGAAATCCTGAAATTTAGGCAATATTTTTCTGGCTAAAAACATTCAGAACCGTTTTTAAAAACGATGATTTTACATCACTAAACCAAGGAAGATGGATTTTAAAAAATAATATACATACTTAATATTTTGGCATTATTATTATTATATTAGGTCAAAATTAGTTCGGCGTATAAATTCTCTTAAATATGGTATAATAGTAATAGCTTGTTAATCAAATCAAATTTTTGAATAATGATATCAAGGAAATATCATGATACGATAATAAATGCAGATAATAAATCGTAATGTAGCATTCGCTCATTTTTAATTGCAACTCCAATTTGCTTTTTTACAAGGAATTTCATAAAAATTTTATAGCCATTTTTGAAGGGTGGGGGGGGGGGGGGAATAAAATTTATCAAGAGTGGCAAATCCCGCCTTCTCATCTTAAATCTTGAATGATATTCAGTAGATTCTTACCGGGTCGAGTTATCCAGCTATAGTTTAAATGCATTTTAATGATTGAATCATTAGACTTGATAGGTATTAGCAATTGGTACACTTATATCATTCTAATAACAATACAGATTTATTGTCCAAAAAATATAATGCTTCCCTCTTAAAAAATATTTTACGAATTTCCCCTGATTCATAATTATATGATATGTTATATTTCGCAAACTTTAGTTATAATCTTATGTCTTTTTTTTTAGTTTTCTTTACAAATATATAACATTCTTAAGAGTTATTTACATCTGTTTCATTGCATAACCTTTAAATTTAAAATATTATACACATTCACTTACTATATACTTATCTTATCAGTTATCACTTATCTTTAAATATAAAACATGTTATCTTATATTGATAGATATATAGTATATTGTGTAAAATACTTAACAAATTCCATATAACCTTCATATATAGTTATAATTAGAAATTTATATTTTAAATAATATTATTATTATCAAAGCATGATTTAGAAGAATAAAGATCATTTTTTTTACAGCTCGACATTCCCACGTCGATGTTGACTGACATGCTATAATACTTAGTTTTACCATTTTAAGAAA